CACATTCAGTTCACATAGTGCACTGAAAAGAAAAACTATCAGGGCAGCCACAGACCTACAAATCAATGCCTGAAGTAGCTGCTTAAATACAAAATATATTCACTTGGATATGCACAAAAGCAGCACTGAAAATTCAGATTCAATGATGTCTCAAGATGAAAGAGACTTTAGAAAAAAAGACAGAACTTTTGAGAATTTGATAGATGTGCTCTTCTGACTCCAGTCTATATAACAGATATAAACTACAGTTTCAAATTAATGCATCTGATAATTCTTGCAAGTCCTGCTTGTACAGACACCATCAGCAGGACAGAGGCTACAGCTCTGCACAGGCCACCTCTCACACAAAGCCTTGGGCATGCACACATCCTGCTTTGAGGCTGAGCTCATTCCAAATGTTACAGAATCACCATGAGCACTGAATCGATTATACAGCAGGAAAAGGGACATTTTTGTCCCAATTTCCAGCTAACCATGTGGCATTTATGTTTCACTCAAACAATCCTTTCCCACCACACTCATGAAGTTTGTGGTTAAAAGAAAGGAGATCAGATCTCAGAACAGCTACAATCAGAACAGCAGGACCAGAATAATCATCTTCCAGTTTCTAGTCCTCCATCTTCCAGCATTAAGGAGGCTTGAGATATCCTTGGATGCTCGAGTGTCAGGTTTTGAGAAGGTGCTGATGGCTGTAGGTTACCTACTAAAAATCACATAACAGGAGACATTTCCTTGCATTAATGGGTCACCAGGAGGAACAGGGACCACTTAAATCCCCACAAATGGTTTGGACAAGGCTTTTTTGTCTTATCAGCCAAGCCTGGCTTCCACCTTCAGACCCCTGCTAGTTCTCCTGTGCCTCACTGGCTGCTTTCTGACACCTGCAGAGAGGTTTCCCAATAAAATGGTGCAGGAACTGTTTTATTGGGTTCTGGCATTGGCCTTGCCTAAGCTGGCTGCTTCCTAATGCCAGAAGGATTGAGCCAGTGGCAGATCATCATGGCCCACTTCTAAGAGCAGTGAAATATGGCACACACATTTCCAGCCACAGGCCAGCAATGTAGCCCCAGTTATCTTGCCAATTCTGTCAAACTTCTCTGTCACACCAAAGTAAATGTGGAGAAGTTTGTGCTCAAGAATTCCAGAGGTCGAGGTCAGCAAATACCACTTCAGCAAACAGACACTGCTTTGGCAACAACTGCACCTGTAAGTATCTGTTATTTCACTTAATCTCATTTTCAAGATTTCCCTAGGTTCTGTTGGAGGAGGCTTCCCCACTTCTGCTGATAAGGAGATTGAACAGTTCAGTGACTGAAAGCATTTCCAATTAACAGCACATTGAATCATCTGTAATTCAATGAAAGGCAGCCTAGACTGAGGGGCTGTCACACACAGTCCTTGCAACAGCCACATAAATAACTCACACAAAACCATTTCCTAGAAAAAAACTCCACCAGGTCCCACAGGAGAGGAGTAATGAGATGAAATGAGATCTGCCTCAGCTAAGAAGGGCTATTTTAGACTTCAGCACACAGGGAGCCCTGCAGAACAGAGAGCATCACCATCCCTGCCTTCAACACCACCTCCTGTCCCCAAGAGCTTCTGGCTTCAAAATGTGATTTTATACCCAGGTGAGGGACAAGGCCAATGTGAATTTGATTATGTTTGGGGGGTTCCATCCCAAAGAGCAACAGCCAAGCACTGGTGTGGATAAGCTAAGTGTTATCAGGCAAGAATTTTGCCTAGGAAATCCACCCACACCCAGAACTCAAAGACAACAGCTTTAAGCTGTTTTTCTTCTAGGACAATCCCTGTTGAAGGGCCCCTCTGAAACATACTCCCAATCCTTGTCTAACCACATTGTTGGATTTCTTTGTAGGAAAGAAGCTACAGAAAGGGAGAGAGGCAGGGAAGGAAGAAGGAAAGGAGAATGTTCTCTGGCCTACCCTTGATAAGAGGACAGAGTACTGTCCCAGATCTCACAGTACAGATAAGCAGGAGCTGTCTGCCTGCATGGCCAATGAATTCTGTGTTTCATACCATACAATAGATAAACTACCCAGCAGATTAACTGAAGCTTTCTGATAGCAGCCTGAGCATTGACTTTATCCAGATTTTGGCACCCACAGAAACGCTTCTCCAATGTGTGAAGCAGAAGCTGCCTCACCCACTCCCCTCAAAAACAGCTAAAAACACTTCATGGAATAAAAGTTACTCTCAACTCTGTCAGGTGCTGGTGAATGCAGAGTCATGCCAGCCAGAGGTTAGTCCCTCAGAAAAGGGCTGGGGAGTTGCAGAGCAGGACAGAAGCACATCAGGAGAGTTGAGGAATGATGGCTACACATACCAGGTCTGGGTGGCATGCTGAATGTACTGAGAGGCAGAGAAGGAAGTGCCAAATCCCCAGCTAAGCCTCTCCAGGTGCTGGAAAGGGTATTAAAAATCATTCCAGTCTTTGTCTTTAGTGGGGATGGGTCCATCTGCAGGACAGGGCAAGCACACCAAGCTGTGAAGAGGTTGTCTCTGGGTTGCACTCACTGCTTTGGTTTGTTTTGGCAGTACCAGAGAAGCCAGCACCACACACCAATGTGATAATGCCCAGTCTCTTCAGCATCATCTGCTTCCTGGGCATCATGGGGAACCTCATTGTGATCTACACTATCGTCAAGAAGAAGAAGCTGAGATGCAAACAGACCGTGCCCGATATTTTCATCTTCAACCTCTCCATCGTGGACCTCCTCTTCCTCTTGGGCATGCCCTTCCTCATCCACCAGCTCTTAGGCGATGGCTCGTGGTACTTTGGAGCTCCCCTGTGCACCATCATCACCGCCCTGGACACAAACAGCCAGATCACCAGCACCAACATCCTCACAGTGATGACTCTGGACCGTTACCTGGCCACCGTCTACCCCCTCAAATCCACCTACGTGCGGACGCCGTGCGTCGCGGCTCTCGTCATCTGCCTGGTGTGGCTCCTGTCCTTCCTGACCATCATTCCCGTGTGGATGTACGCCGGCCTCATGCCCCTGGAGGACGGCACCGTGCGCTGTGCTCTCCTGCTCCCCAACCCAGAGACCGACATCTACTGGTTCACCCTCTACCAGTTCATGCTGGCCTTCGCCGTGCCCTTGCTCATCATCTGCGTGGTCTATTTCAAGATCCTGCAGCACATGGCCACCACCGTGGTGCCGCTGCCCCAGAGGAGTCTCCGGGTGCGCACGAAGAAGGTCACCCGCATGGCAGTGGCCATCTGTTCTGCCTTCTTCATTTGCTGGGCTCCCTTCTACATCCTCCAGCTGGTTCACCTGGGCATTGACACCCCATCCGTGGCCTTCTTTTATGCCTACAACTTTGCCATTAGCTTGGGCTATGCCAACAGCTGCCTCAACCCCTTTCTCTACATCGCCCTCAGTGAGACCTTCAAGCGCCAGTTCTTGGTGGCCATTCGCCCTGCCAAGGAGCCCTGTCGCAACAGCAGCTCTGCCAACAACAACAGCATGACAGAGGCCAGTGTGTGCCTGAAGCTGGCGCCAGAATCCACCCAGCAGACTCAGTTCCTGGAGGACTTCTCGCCACGCTCGCTGCCGGTGACTGTGGCTGTTCACTAGGGCACTCCGAAGGGATGGCAGCAGAAAGCTCTGGATCTGTGAGTTGATGGAGGAGCAGCAGCTGCAGGCAGGTCTTGGAAATGCCTATGGACTACAAACTTCCACCTCCAAAATGCAGGTGCCTCTCTTTTCCATTCCTGTGCTCCTGCACTGCTCCCAGCCTATGAGATGCTACGTGCTGCCGCTTTTCATCCTGCACAGGAGGACTCTGCCCCACTGGGCCTTCAAAGAGGATGAATACAACAGAGAGAAAGGACAGAAAGAGGATTTCCAGGGGGAATATTCACTCTACAAGAGTAAAACCTCTATCAGCACTGCCCAAGGATTCCTCACCTCTTGGCCCGATCAGGCAGCTTCTCAACACAGAGCTTCTTCATTCAGAACTTGAACCTTTGAACCACAATGTCATCTATTTATTTTTTTATAAGTAATCTGCAGACTTTGCTGGCTGTGCTGATATCCTAGAAGCACACAGCAGAGAGATCTTGGGGACAGAAATCTCACTCAGACCTGTTGCTTGGCCTTTCAGTCCAGCCCCATCTGCCTCCAGTGGGCTGTATTGTTTGGCAACCACAACATTTCAGGAACTGGCTCATTTCGATGCTAATGCTAAAATATTTCAAGCAAAATCAGACACATAATAATCACACTGCTTCAAGGGACTGCAAAGAATTTTCAAAATTACTGCTGCTAACACCAGATTTGTGGCTTCTCATGGCAATGAGCAGATTTTCACAGTGCTAGTTCTTCATGCTGCTCTTGTACCTCACAGTCTGCACGGCCATTGGGGAACCCCTGGCAGAGGGTTTTAAGCAGGACTAAAAATCACAATGTGCAGAGATCTGTGGAGCGAGAAGCTGTGAAAAAGCAGCTCAGGGGAAGCAGAGTTGCTTATGCAGCTTCTTCAAAAATAACAAATGCTTTACACAAAGTTAAAAGAGGGAAAATTAAATGTCTGTATGTTGTATATGCGGCTTTAGCAGTCGGAGGTTAGGAAGTAGCTCTGCTCATTATAAAGTAGAGAAAAGACAGCAGAGATCAGCTCAAAGCAGGGATTACACCAACAGCCTGTGCCAGGCTCCACAGGGACCACGCAGGCATTGTTCAACACTTTGTCAGACACGGAGGGACTGGTTGCTGTAGATGGATTTAATTTAAGAATTAAAAACATCAAACAGTCCAAAGGAATTTGTCATACCACACTTAAGGTTTCACACCACCAGCCACCCACGATATGCCCAGAACAGAATTTCACCCTTGCTCAGCTCCAAAGCACAACTGTGTCACCTGCACAGGATGTCCTAAGCCACACACATCACACTCGTAAGCACATTTAAACACGGCCAATACTTCAGACTACACCCTGCAGAGAGCACACAGCCACTCGCTCACCTCCAGCGATCAAAGCAGTCAGGTGTGCAGCACCAGCACCTTTGACACCATCAGATGCAGCATGTTGCTTTCTGAGTCACTGAACAAACCTCAGGACAGGGTCTCTCTGTATTTTCTTCCAGGCTCTGTCACAACCAGCACATCCAGACCGTGACTGAGAGTATCTTGTGGATTTTCTGCCTGCGTTTCCCCAGCCAACAAAGCCAGACATCTGCGGAACTTTCAAGCTTTATGGCTCGAAAATCTTTGCCCCGTTTTAACTGCCAGGAATTTTCACCTGCTGTTTTTCATGGAGCTGCTTTGCTCTTTGGTCAGTACTCTCCCTGAAGGGCTTGGATGGAGCGAAGGTCGAGGACGATGCGTGCTGTGCCAGCCAGACTTGCCCTGGGGACAAGGGAAGCTATTGTGTCACCTTTCTCCCATTAGGCAGGGAAGGGAATAACTGGCACATTTTCTGGGAAAGGAGGTGGTAATGACTGGGTGGGTGTTTCTTCCTCTAGTGCCAACCATAAGGAAAGTATGAGAAGTGAAAACAGACTGAGTTATCAGGGCTCTCTCGGAGAGCAGGACGTTGGAGATATTATCTTGCTTACACAGTAAAGGTGTTTATGGTTGAACAAGTCTGTTCCCATCTGAGGTGAGTCGATCTGACCGGTGTGGCCAAGCCATGTGCTAAAAACCACAGGGCCAAGTGGGCTAACCAGGAAGGGACCAACTGGTGCAGCACTCAAAAGGGGTTTTGTGGGGCTGATCTTTCCCAGATCTCATCACACTGAAGTCAACACACCAGTCCAACACTGACCACAACACGGGCACCTTCCCAGCTTGAAGTCCTGCAGATCTCATCTGTGTGAGGTGCAAAGCCATACTGGAGAGCCTGGTCCCAACACCATGGACAGGTGGCTTCCATTTATCCAGTGTCCCAGGAGAAGCATGTGCCCCTTCCCACCACCCTGCAAGGCTCAGGGTTTCCATTCCCTCATATTCCTTCATGTCCTGAAGGGGTTTCCTACTCCAAATGTTTCAATACTGGCTGTGGGGTCCTTCCCTTTCCATGTACATCCATAAAAGTGTGACAAATCATCCTTGGGAAGACAAGGATGTGAACTCCTGTGTGTGTATTGAGAGGCTGGGAAGAGAGGCACAGACAGGAAGCAAATTAGCAAAGAACACAGCCAGCAGATAACTTTTGTCAGCTTCCCAAAATCACCCCAAAGCACAGGGCAAGATGAACAAAAGCCTGTCCTTAGGAGCAAACCTATTGATCAAATGCCTTCAGAGGTGTCACTCTAGATAAGGCAAGGCCTTCCAGGAGCTAAACAGTCCCTGTGCACCTTGGTGTGACCTCCTCCAAACATCCTATCCCTTTTCCAACTTTTTCAGAGCTGGCTTTATTCAGTCAGAGTCCATTGACATTCTGGTTTGTGTTCAACTTTACCTCTTTGTCTCTCTGCTCTTTGTATTTATTATGTGATCTCCTGTCTCAGTGCCTTGGTTACCAAGGGCAGAGCCTGAATAAAGGGAATTGCAAAGTAGGGAAGGGAACAGGGACTCGTGCAGGGATGGAGAGCCCCGAGTGCAGTGAGGGCTGCCCAAGAGGTGCTGTGAGAAGGGCACAGAGATAAGACAGCTCATTTCCCAGCAGTCCTGCCTCCCATACACAGCCCATTTTCTATCTTGAGAGAAATCAAAGGGAAATTCAGCTGAAAAACCAGGGGAAAAACACCCCCACAAGCAAAGGGCAATAGAAAAACGATTCAATCTGCTTTTTCACATCAACAGCCTACTATGCTTGAGGAGACAAATTTCCTCTGCTCATTTTGCCAGCACTTATCCCATGTTTTTGTGGGCTGCCTTGTCAGACAGCAGGGCGACAGATGGGTTCACTCTCCAGCCCCTCCTCTTCCCCTCATTGTCCTCAGAGGTGCAAGTGAAGCCACATGTCACAGCTCTGCTCTTGATAAACTCCCACAAAAGGGCAGATGGTCCAGTCACTTTTACTCTTACTTTCCCCGCTGGTGACAAAGTAATCCTTGGTTGGTCGTGGCAGGATTCAGTGCCTGGCTCACCCTTCTCAGTCACCTCTATTGCACTCCCCCCTCCCAGCAAAGCAAACTCCTGCCTTCCCCCAGTGGCAGCTCTGCCAGGCCATCCCTGGAGCCCAGCTGGTGACATTCCCTGGACACTCTTCTCCACCTGAAGTCTCTGCACAGCTGAGCCTGCCCAGGAGAGAATTCCAGCCGTGATGGAGCACACGCATGGAGGCTGCAGGGTGGGGAGGAGGGAAAGGTGGGGTGACTCACTGGCCCCTGGGACACAGCCAGAGCCTGACTAATCCTGTTTCCTCAGCCCTCCTGGGCTGCTAATTGAACACATTTCATTCAACAGACTCACCGGTGGGAGAGGAGCCACGTGGCAGGTACGGATACGTTCCCAGCCCTCTCCTTCTCCTAAATCCTCCTGCCAGATGCAGGGACCACACAGCAATGCCCTTCCCTGCTCACCTCCCCTTAGCAAAGCAGCACAGCCAAACCCCCACAGCCTTTCCACCAGCTCCATCCCCAGCGTGGGGCTGGGGAGGGGCAGCAAAAAGGAAAAACAACCACAGGAGAGGAGTAAAGGGGGAAGGATGCCTCATCTACAGCCTCCATCTCCCAGTGAAGGGCCCCTCCAGCACACAGGAGACCTCCAGTCTGCATTCACAGGGAGCATTTGAACAGGGAACTCGCTGCACCACTGGGGGGAATATTGCTAAGAGATGTAGACCACAATTGCAGAAAGGCATGGGAGAGGATACCAGCTCTGAGAGCCTTCGTTGCTGTCCATATCCCCTTTGGGAAACAGCTCCAAAGATCATATGGGACACAATAATCGTTCCTCTCACATCTTTGTACCAGTAGGGCTGCCTTGGCTGTGGAAAGCACCACTCCTGCTGTCCCAGTGTGGCTCAGTTTGGTTCCTCCCAAAGGGCAGAGCTGGGCTTCAACAACTGCAAAGTCACCCTTGAGAAGTGGTGGTGCACAGAGCAGAGCTTCCAGAGGCACTTCAGGAGGTGCTGAGGACAAGAATATCAGAAAAGCCATCAGGGTGTCACTCAGTACCTCCCACCACCTCTGAACACTGCTGGAGTCAGGTCCAGCTCCAGCCCTCCCTCCTCTGCTCGTCCAAAGCCAAGCCACTGCATCAGCCTCACCCTCCCAACAGCAGCTGAACAGCACAAGCAACAATGAAGGCTCAAAGCTTTGTCCTGCAGGTCCACACAGGGTCAGTCCTTTGGAAATGGGAGCCAGATTCTGCCCCATCACACCAGGGGTGAGTTACACCACAGCACTGAGGGGGTTTTCAGCACATCAGGGAGCAGATCCCACCCCAAGTACCAAATCTATCATCATCCAGCACTGCATTGCAATAGGATCTGCAGGGTCTGGATCCACAGAAATGCATCTGGGGCAATGATTTTTCCAAGCTTCAGTTAAACCAAAACTGGAGTGTGTCCCTGTGTAAGCTTTAAACCTTATTTCTTCCACTTAAAACTGAATTAACAGATGAGTCAGCCCTTCCCTCCAACCTGTGCTCTTGTGTCCCCTGCAGGTTTCCACTCACAGAGTAGGCAGCCTGAGAGTCAGTGACATCATTTTAATTATTCTGGTGTTCAATTACCATTCAGTTGCCTTTGCTAAGTCCGGAGGAGCTCTTACAATTATCTTCCTGCACATGCTGCTGTAAGCACAGCAGCTTGGAAACACTGGGCTGCCGTTCCCTGCTCCAGCAGACACTTCAGGGGAGAGAGCAGAGCTCTCCTTAGGCAGCCACAGCAAGGAAGACTCCTGCCTCATCCAGAGCACGATGTCTCACACCCACATCCCACTCCAGGCTCCAACCCTCCACCCCCTTCACCCATGCAGCTTGAACACAGAAAGCCAAATTCTAACATTTCCATGCACATTTTGGCACAGAGTAACAGTGCTGACTGGTCTCTTTGGCAAGTCCTTAGATCTTCCCTGCATCTGTTTTCCTTCCCACTGCCTGTATCATCACCCTTGGCCATGGATCTTGTTTAAAGATATCTCACTCCCTGGTATTTGATGAAAACTGTCCAACCTTTTCCAGATGACATAGGCAGGTCCCAGCTCTTGTCCCCTTGCTGCTGTCAGGGCTATCCCAGATTCCTCCCGTGCAGGATTTACAAGTGAAACCCAGTTTGAGTAACACAGCCCTTTTCCAGCTCATCATCAAGGCAAGGAAGGAGCAGACTGAAGGAACTGTGGAATTTGCTTAAAACCTGATGTCCTCAGAAGTTATCCCATTCCTCTTTACAGGAGGGATTAAGCATTCCTGGAAAACACAGCTGGCAGATCCAGGTATCCCAGCTCCCCAGGGGCTGCTGGAATCTGTTTTCTGTGAGCAATCCTGTACATCATCTTATGTCACCTTGTCTTGTACACAACTGAAGCAACACTCACTGCTGGGCCATCTCCCCCAGCCCATGGGACGTATCTGAGATCTTTGCAGCTTTAGAAATAAGCATATTTTAAAGAATTAGGACCATGAGGTGATTTGGGGAGATTATGTGCTGTTTTTAACATGTCAAGGCTCAGCTGCTCTGCCTGGTCCCTGGTGCTGCAGCTCCTCAGCAGCTTTGGTCTCTCACTGGTGGCTTTGTCCTTTCTTGAGCCACCCACTGCTCTCTCCTGGTCTCCTTCCCTTTACTAAAGGACAGTCAAGATAAGCATTTGCTTTTCTCAGTAGTACTGTAGATTTTATCTGAGACAACAGCCCACACTTTCCAAGGATAAAATGATCCTCATTATTCTCCTGTCTCCAGCCTTCATCTGAGGTTTCAGTCATAAATACTTGTGAAACATCTGAAATTTTTAGACTCAGGAACTAGAGGACAGCAACATGTCAGCTTTCCTTCTTAGCACCTCATTTTGGTGGTGAAATCAGAGCCCTGAGATGTCAAACTCTAGTCTTAGGCAGCCAGAAGAAGCTTTTGGCATGACTCAGACCTTGTTTGGCTCGGCTTTTCTCTAATGCCATGCCATTAATTTCAGAGGAAGCAGTGGTGAGTGAGAGGAGGCTCTGGATTTCCAGGCGGCCAAGGGGTCAAAGGGGTCTGAGGCTGCCCCTGTGGCCTGGGCAGTGCTGCCATTGCCCTCTGGATGCACATGTGCAGGCTGCCATCCCATTTGGGAACAGGTACCCACACCTTTGGGAGGGGTGGGTTGGTCCCAGAGCACGTTCAAGGCAGTTTCTCTGGTTAACTGCTGTTGAGGGTGAGTTTGGAGATAAAATAAAGTTGTCTCCAATGTGTTTAGGTCTCTGTGATATTTTTCTTCTGACAGGTAACTGCTCTGCTCAGCCTCTTCTTCCTGTAGCCTTCAGAGCACC